TATGTATACACACACACACACACACACATATATATAAATAAATATTTAGATAGAATAATTGCTGCCGTGAACAATTGCCTCCTCTGCCACAAAACCAGAAAAACAGGATGGTGCCCAGCTACCATTACATTGTGACCAAAGATTCCATAAAAGAATCCTGATCAAAAGGTGGAAAAGGTAGAACAAAATTTCAAATTCTCATAGACTTGACTTTCTGGAGCCGTGGAGGCTCTGAAACTATAGTCTTTAACACTTAATCAGAAATATCCTCTGACATCTTAAAACAGATTAATAGTTTAGCTTAACTAGTAAAAAAGGTCTAACTTGAGCATTATGCTCTTTTAAGAGCTGTCACTATGGAATCAAACTGAGAACTCAAAAAATTAGACAGAAACCTTGAAGGGTAGTGAGTTTATGTTAATAAGGGAGTTAACAACTCAGAAACGGAGTGAGAACGGTTGCACAACTTGAAGAATATAATCAAAGTCACTGAACTGCACATGTAGAAACTGCTAAATTGGTGTATGTTTTGCTGTTTATATTCTCAACAACAACAACAAAATTTTTAAAATCATGTCTCTGGGCCAGTTTACAATATCTAATTTAGAATAAAACCCTCTTAATTCAGAGGCTGTCTATGTAAAACTTTATGGAAAGGATGAATAAACAATATTAGCATGTACATAATCACCTTAATAATAATATGAAAGTTATTTCTGTAAGAAAAAGGTGAATTTCTTTACACATTTCTAATATATTAAACTCTCATGTGATATAATGCCACCATTGATTACTCAGTTCAATTTCTTTTTAACCATGACAGCTTTCACTTTACTATAAAATCTCTTTCATCTATACGACAATCTTTTGATATGGCATAGAGCTCCAGGCCTGGTCTTTCAGAAATCACAGTAAGAAAACACTAGTAATAAAAAGTGAAGAGGGGAAAAGATTAAACTAAGCTATTCTGAATTTGATTCTAGTCATTACTTGCATTTAAAAAAAAAAAAAAAAAACACCTTAGTAGGAAATCTTACTTTAGCCTACTGAAAAGTCAATGGAAAACTGAATAACTTCTTAGTTGAAATATGAATGATGAATCCACAGAAATGCAAAGAACTTCAAATTACAAAAAAAAAAATTCCATGTGAAAATACATTTTCACTAACATTACTCTTATATGTTTTATTTTAAAAAATAAAAATAAATTTAAAAATTTAATGCGCTTTAAAACAGAACAAGGCGCCTAAATATGAATGCTACTAAATGGTGTTTTGACTTCCTCCACAACGTCCCTCTTTTCATAATTATTCCATTCATGCAGGAAAGGAGGATAGCTTGGCTTTTACTGCTATCCATTCCATTGTTGTTGTTGTTATGTGCCATCAAGATGGACCTGACTCATAGCGACCCCTCCTTGGGTTTCTGAGGAAGTGGATTGCCCAATCTGCCTTCTGAGGAGTGGTTCATGGGTTTGAACCACCAGCCTTTTGGTTAGCAGTCAAGCGCCTTAAGCACTACGCTATCAGAGCTCCTATCCATCCCCTAGGTAACGTAACTGTCCTGTCAGCCTCCTTTTCATTTCAAAGTATACCAAGCATGGAGATTGGCAGGAGGGCCATAGGGAAAGAAAAGTATCTTACATTTTTAATAAAGGGCTAGTTGATTCTATCTCCACAAAGTTCCAGTCAACTCTGTACACAACTGAAACAAATGCTGAGGGTAGATTATAAAGGGAAATATTAAACAAACACTTCAAATTTAATCTTACCTATGTAGTAATTCTCTGATTTTCATAAAAATGTCTTTACTTTGAAAATGCAGAAAAATCAGTGCTTGAGTTATCTTCAATAACTCTAGTGGTCTATAATTATCCAAATATTTATCCACAACTAAAGCAATTCTAAAAAAGAATAACAAAACATATATTATTATCAATTCACTCATTTATTATTATTAAACATTTACTGAAGAGCTTTTTCATGCCAGACACTATTCTATGTACTAGAAAAACAGCAATAACACAAGGTGATTAAAGAAATGTTGTTGTTGCTGCTGCTGTTATTTGCCATCAAGTCAGACCCGACTCATAGCGACCCCTCCTTGGGTTTCCGAGGCAGTATCACTACAGAAGTAGATTGCCCAACCTTCCTCCTGAGAAGTGGCTGGTGGGTTTGAACCGCCAGCCTTCTGGTTAGCAGTCAAGTGCCTTAGGCACTACTCTACCAGAGTTCCTAAAGAAATATAATCAATTAAAATACAATGAGATTGGAGCTATCAAGGACATGTGAATGAAATAGTGCTCAATTGTCAATAGAGAGGACAGAAAACCAGTCCTCATGTCACAGAACAGCCATCAAATTCCACATACTTCCCAACAAAAACTTAACCACAAATTACTAAAAAGTAGTAAAACTGACTTAATTTCTTTCTTCAATCTCACTGAGCCTCTAACAGAGTTGCTTCAAAGCAACAGGAAATACTAAAAGGCATTAAATTGGAGGAAATGGGCAGAAGGAATGCTAAAATAAAGGAACATATAAAATAGATAATGAAAACTGAAGCGTATCATTTGAACTACATTTTTTTTTTCTTCTTAATCTCCAGTTAACAAAAATGCCAATATATGGCATTATGGTTTCAAGGTAACAACTGTGGTGTGAAGCAATTCAAGTTCACATGGATGTTAAATATTCTGCAGTAACTGTCCTTTTGCAAAGCAGGGTGCCTGTGCTATATCTCCATTTTCCAAGATTATGATAATCTGCTTGTGTACAGTAAGAGCAGCAATTGACATATGCTGCACATAATTTTACCATCTCTATTTTGAACAAGCTAGATAATAATTAAACAAACTTATTGCTTTAAGTGTTAACTCCTTTTTTTTTCAAAAACAGCTAGATTATGGGTATCGGTGTGTGTGTGTGTGTGTGTGTGTGTATATCTCCATATATAGATATATAATTTTTCCTTAAAAAAAAAAAGACACATACAAATGACAATTGAAACTTTACATCATGAAGTTAAGGTAAGAGTACTTTTTAATCAGGCGTGAATTTCTACTTTCCATCTCTTCCATTGCTCCCAACACTTCCAGTGCTTGTTGGCTGGTCAGTTCCTCTGACATCAATAATATGGTTGATTTAAGTCTAAAAGCAAGGAAATATATTTATACACCAAAAAGCTGATAATTAGCTTATAAAAAAAAATGTTAAATACATTTAGGAAGAAGATCAGATGTGGGTAGGACAACAGGATATATGACCACAAACAGATCTGGCTGATGATAATTCTTACCTGTGTATTTATGCCACAAAAATATCCACATACATTATAGAAGTAACAGGGGACAAGGTTGGAGTAGCTTCTCAGTAATAACCAAGCACCTTCAGGGAGTGAGTCACTGGGCCTGCAGGCTCAGGACCATGGTCTTAGGAGACATCAAGCTCAATAGGCACAATATAGTACATAAAAATCTTGCTCTACGTCCTATTTTGCTGAGTAACGAATGGGGTCTTAAAAGCTTTTAAGTGGCTGTCTAAGATGCAACTATTAGTCTCCTCTTGTCTGGAGCAAGGAAGGGTGAAGAAAATAAAAATCATATGGAAACAATTAGTCCAAAGGTATAATGGACCATGAGAACCTCACTAACCTGAAACCTGAAGAGCTACATGATGCCTGGCTACCAATGACAACCACTCAGAAAGTGACCAAAATTGGAGAATCTGGATAGAGTGGGAGGAAAGATGTGGAACAAAACTCAAAAACACAAAAATGATCAGAATTACTGGTTGGATTGAGGCTGGTGGAACCCTCAAGACTATGGCCCCAGGTTATCCACAGGGCCTGGAACTGGACTCACTTCCATGGATTAGCTCTCAGCCAACCAGGAGAAAGGCCTACAGACAGAACACCTACCCCAGGCAGATGCACCCACCTACCCTAGGAAGATGAACCCCTAACATCAATCAACCACGAGACATTACAAGGGCAGCAATTGCATAGAAGGAAAGCTGGACAGACAGGAATGCATAGACAAGAAGGACACAGGGAAAAGGTAGTCATAGGGAGGAGACAGAGGACAGCTTTATATTGTTGGGATTGTAACTGGGCCCATGAAACCAAAGGTGCATGAACTGTTGAGAGTAAAACGAATCTGCTTTGTAAATCTGCACCCAAATCACAATAAAATAAATAAATAGATTTTGTTGTTGTTGTTATGTGCCATTGAGTCAGACTTGACTCATAGCAACCCCTCCTTGGGTTTCCGAGGCAGTATCACTATAGATAGATAGATAAATTTGGGTAACAAACAAAAAATAATGTAAACAAAAACTGAATTCAATATGTAATTCCAATTTTCTCCTCATATAATTAGGGGACAATATAAAATATTATTTAAAAAATAACTATGATATAAAATTATTTTCTTCAAAGCAAGTAGGGCCTCAGTATAAACTAAGCTTGTAATGTTTTGTTTCATATAAAATATTTAATAAGTAATTTTCAAACAAGATAAGGTTCCTATGTTTATAAAATACAGTGATTCAATAGAGAATGGTAGAACCCCTGAGACTATGGCCCTCAGACACTCATCAAGCCTGGAACTGAACCCACCCATTAGCTCAATTTTCAGCCAAACAATAGACAGGCCTATAAAGGTGAACAGTAACACTAGGGAGGTACATGCTCCTCAGAACAACCAAACATATGAGATCAAAAGGGAAGCATTTGCCCAGAGAAAAATCTCAGATAACCAAAAGGGGTAGGTGAGGACTAACCAAGTGGTAAACCAGGGAGGAAGCAGGAAGAGTGGGTACATTGTGGGGATTACAATCAATGTCACAAAACAAAAAGTGTATGAACTGTTGAATGGAAAAACCAATTTACTCTTAAACTTTCACCCAAATCACAATACAAAGCTAATAATAATAGTATATAAAAGTATTTAACAACTGGTATAAAAAATACAATTATCTAATGAAATTATTCAATACTAGAGAGTTAAGGAACTATCAGATGATACTCTAAGAATATGCCAATGTCTTAAAATTAAATAAGATTTGACCAGTAAGCCAATATGCTTATTTTACCTGCATAACAGAAATCTTACACACTAAACTCTTGCCATATCACTATAAATTAAAATTTACAGAAACCATCCAAAGTAGTTTAGTAATGCAAGTGTCAAGATAAAACGTCATTTAGAATAATTCAGAAAAAGGCTCAAAACATAAATTCTTAGGAAAAAAAATTTTTTTTATTCATTCTGGACAGCTCCACCTAGTCTAGTTTTACGAAAGGTTTCAAACCCAGCTTCCCTCTGAAGATTTTCCCAATCTGTTCAACCTCCTTTTTCTCACTTCTCTGCCTGTCCACAGCACTTAATGTCTATGTCACTGATTTTAGTATTTACTCATAAGCTATGTTATGGTATTTACATATTTCTATTAATTGTTTTTGGAGCCCTGGTGATGCAGTGGTTAGGCACACTCAGCTGCTAATTAAAAGGTCAGCAGTTCGAACCCATCAGCTGCTTCCCAAGAGAAAGATGAGGCAGTCTTCTTCCATAAACATTTACAACCGTGGAAACCTCGTGAGGCAGTTCTACCCTGTCTTAAAGGATCACAATGAGTTGGAATCAGCTGGATGGCAATGGGTATTATACATCTCTATTCTTCCAACTAGAATATAAATTCCTTGAAGGCAAAGACATTGCTAAGTCCAAATTCTGTACTGCCTTATGATAAGATTTTAACAATATTTGGTGACAAAAAAAAGATTCCTAAGATTTTAATTTTCTTGGTTCCATCTTGACATAGTCCTTTATATGACCTTAAATTTCTTCATATGATTAAAAAAAAAAAATCTTAAAAATAAAACTTTCTCCATGAAGTTTTCCCTGATGAATCATCCCTAATGATGCAGCTTCCTCTATTATGCAACTCCTGGCACCCTTGCTCAGTAGTATGAACCTACTAATCACAGTCAATTGCTCATGCCTAATAATCATGCATTAATTTAGTATTTGCTCATCTGTATATCTCAAATACTTCTATCTACATCAATATCTGGCAAAGTTGGAAACTAGAAAGACAGGAGCCAGATCAATTTCATGCAAAACTGGCACAGGGACATACTCCCGTGTACACAATAAATGCCTTTGATGATGAATGTGATGAAGATAACAAAGAGTACAATAAAATGGTCCATGTTAGGACTACAATTCTGAACATTCCACACCCTATGCTGGGGATTTTTGGGGAAAGAAGGAGTTTATGCCTATGAGTAAATAGTTACAAAGCCTAAGACGAGAGAATAAAATTCCTTAATAGTGTTCTCCATGGCTCCCTCTTCTTTTTGGGTCAGCAAGAAATGGGGTTACTCACACCTGTGGTTTCCAGCCAAACAAAAGACAGGCATATGAGTTGAACATGTACCTGAGGTAGATACACTTTTTGGAGAGAACAATCATGGGAGAAAGAAGGGCTACTTATGCACAGGAAGAGAGCTCAGGGGGCAGGAGTGCATGGAGGGATGGACACAGGGAAGAAGTAACTATTGGAAGGAAGTGGGAGGGGAACTGTTGCATTGTGGTAAATTGTGGTCAATTTCATGAGACAAAGTATATGTGAACTGCTGTATGGAAAGTGAACTTGCTGTGTAAATTTTCACCCAAATCACAATTTAAAAAGAAGAAGGAAAGAAAGAAAGAAATGGGGTTACTGATCATCTTTCAATTGCCACTGAGTCAGCTCTGACTCATAGAAACCCCACACGTGTCAGAACAGAACTGTGCTCATACGTTTTCAATGGCTGTAATCTTTTGGAAATAGATTGCTGGGCATTTCTTTTTTTCTTTTTTTATTATATTTGGGTAAAAGTTTACAGAGCAAATTCACTTTCCATACAGCAGCAGTTCACATACACTTTGTCTCATGACATCGACTACACTTTCCCACAATGCAACAGTTCCCTCCCATTTCTACCTCATAGTTATCTCTTCCCTGTGTCCATCCCTCCAAGCACTCCTGCCCCCTGAGCTATGTCCCTGTGCATACACAGCCTTTCTAATCTCCCATCATTGTTCTCTAAAAGGAGTGTATCTACCTAGTGCAAATGTTCAGCTCATATAGCTATCTTTTGTTTGGCTGGAAGCCCCAGGTGTGGGTTCAATTCCAGACCTGAAGGGCAGCCAGGGGCCATAGTCTCAGTGGTTCCACCAGGCTCTATCAGACCAGCAAACCTGGTCCCTTTTTTTTTTTTTTTTCTCCTCTGGCACCACTGGGTGGACTGGAATCCCTAACCATTTGGTTGATATCCAAACATACTGTTAGCACCACCCATCATCTCCTTTCAGAGTCTAACAGTAAGTTAAGAGTTGAGATGCAAACTGAAACAACCAGAGAAAGAATCAAGGACAAGAACATAGAGATTATTCTCTTTTATACAGTCTGATGGGGTGATTTTTGTGTCTTCCAGAATTTTAAGGTGATCTAACCAAGAAGAGTCATATATCCATACACACACACACACACACACACACACACCGCCAAAAAAAAAAATAAAGTATTTTTAAATGAACTTACTGTTCTTTTTTTTCAGGTCCTGCCATAGGTCCCAGCGTTACAAACAATTTTACAAAGCCATCAGGGTCATCATACAGAGGAATCATTTCAGTTAGCTTCTTTCTGGCTATTCTACTAAATTCAAAACTATGAAATTGTAGAAACCGGTATAGATCAAGTATTTTACAGATGGAATTCAAATCAAGGTGGCTTACATTCCTTAAAAACACTTCATTGCACCTTTCTAATAGTGGGTAATAACTATACTTAACATTCCGAAGAAATTGTACTATTCTTTTTGAAATGTTGACCTGAGAAGAATCTATGGTATCAAAAAGAAGTTCTGCTTTGTTTACTAATCTTTCTCGAAAATGTCGTGATATTAAAGAAGATGTGCTGACCATCAAGACAGACAACGACCTGAAAAAAGAAAAAGACACAAGCATTTTCATATTATTTAGGAGTAATGACTAAATGTGAGGTTAAATGATTAGCTATGGAAAGAAATTGATATAAAAAAACAAACAGATATTATACTATGAAATTTGTCTTGTAAATATAGGTGGGATTTGAAATCAAATCACATAGATGTTGAGCCCTTTTAGACAAAAAGCACTGAAATAACATTTTCTATTGCATGTATATTACTTCAAGTTTTCTGCTGTAGATGAAACTGATTTGGGGGGCAAATATTTTAGTGTAAATTACTTACAAATAACTTTGAAGCAACAGCCCATGAATGTAGCATTAAAAGTCTCATTTTGGATTTTTAGAAGTAGATTCTGAAGAATTTATAGGTCACATTTCTGGTAAGATGGAGGAATAGGCAGACAAGTGACACAGCCCCTCTTCAACAAAGAAAAGAAAAACCAATTGACAGAGATACAGAAGATAATCCTGGAGCCCTGAGCTTTCAAAGGAACGATACAGAAGTGGATTAGGCACCAACTAGTGGAAAAACCTGAATGTAAACAGTGAGTACAGAGATGGCTGGAACTGCAGACTGTCAGCTACTCTGATGGAATCAACAGCCTGAATATTTCCAAGTAGTGTTGGGACCTAAGAATTGACCTAAAGATCAGCCCTGGTCACCAAGGGCTGCAGGGACAACTGCTCTGGTGGCCTCTGACTAGGAAGGGAAACAGCAAGGAGGGAGACAACCTGAGCTGTTGACTTTCCGCTGTCCAGAGGGTGCAGTCATTTTGATTGTTTACACAGGGCAGCCACTTTGGATATTTAAAGTGACCGAGGGCACAGCCATTTTGAATGTTTGTAAGCGGCAGCCATTTTGGATATTTCAAGTGACCAAGGGTGCAGCCATTTTGAATCTTTACAAGGGGCAACAACTTTAGATTTTAAAGTGATAGCATTCTCACTGGGATTCCAGAGATTTAAGAATAAGCTCTGTTTGTCAAGGTCAGCAGGGATATATAAGAGGCTGACAACAGGAAAGGAGACAGGTGGTGAGTGTATAAGTGCTGTCAAGTAGTGAATAGAGGAGCATAGTACCCTGCTTGCATAGATGACATACAAACAAAACAAAGAAAATGAAAATTGTGGGTAAGTCATTCCAACATACAATCACCAATTAAATATAAATAAAAAAACATCACAATGCATTGGAGACAAAAGAGCATGACAGTCCACACAAAGAAGCAAGATAAAGCAGGAGACACAAGGGACCAGGATACAGACCAAAAACACATCCCTGAGGAAGATGCAGCATTGGAACTCTCTGATAAGGAATTCAAAAGAATAATATTTAGGTATCTTCAACAAATTGAGAGACAGATCAAGGAAAACACAGAGAAAACACTAGAACAATTTTGAAAGACAATACAAGAATAAAATGACAAAATAAATGAAAAATCAGAAATGAAACAAAATCTACACATAGAAATCCAGAAGATTAATGCTAAATTTTCAGAAACAGATAAGACATTGAATGGTCAAAGGAGCAGAACTGAATCAATAGAAGACAGAATTAGTGAGATTGAAGGCAAATACCTGAATACTTCTTTAGAAAGCAATAAATCAGAAAAAAGATCAAAATAAAATGAAGAAAGCCTAAGGTTCACATGGGATATCACCAAAAGGAATAACCTATATGTCATTGGAATTCCAGAACAGGAAGATACAAATAAAACCACAGAGAAAATTGTTGAAGATTTGTTGGAAGAGAATTTTCCTGGTATGATGAAAGATGAGAATATATTCATTCAGGAAGTCCAACGAACCCCAAACAGGACAGACCCCAAAAGAAAATCACCCAGACAGATCATCATCAAACTTACCAAAACCAAAGACAAAGAAAGAATCATGAGAGCAGCACAGGAAAAACAAAGTTAACTTCAAGGGGCAACCAATAAGACTAAGCTCAGATTTCTCAACAGAAAACATGCAGGCGAGAAGACAATGGAATGGTATATATAAAACACTGAAAGAGAAAAATTTCCAACCAAGAACTATGTACCCAGCAAAACTGTCCCTCAAATATGATGGCAAAATTAGGACATTTCCAGATAAAAAGAAATTAAGGGAATTTGTTAAAACCAGACCAACCTTACAAGAGATGCTAAAGGGAGTCCTTTGACAGAGAAGCAACAACAGCCAACAACAACTGACCTTTAACACACATGATAATATAACCCAGAAACCAACCCAGCTATGAGAGTAACCAAAGGAAATAAGCCTACAAGATTGTAAACAGGGAACCAGAGACATCAATTGACAAATGAGGACAACTACCAACCAAAACGAGGGAAAAAACTGTGTCATTACAGAACTTCTAGATGGTAGGGAAGTCAAGACAACGACAAGATAGAACGGACTGTTCTAAACTTGGGAAGAAAATTATAAATCACACCTCAAAGAAAAATTATAAACCTTCACATCAAAAAAAGAGAATCAGCATAAATATTCAGCAAATACGAAAACAATAGCAATGAAGGAAGTGATAATACAATTTATATACAAAACAAGCTCAGCATAAAAAATTACATGGAACAAAGAAATCGACACCATGGAAAAGCACATAACAAAAATGACATCAACAAATTTCTATTTGCCAATAATTACGTATCTGGCAAGGGACTTATTGCCAAGATCAATAGCAGAAGAGTGGATGACCAAACTATGGTACATACACATACCAGAATGCTATGCAGCACTAAAGCATAATGTAGAGTCTGCAAAACACCACATAATATGGATGAACAAGGAGGACATTATTCTGAGTGAAACAAGTCAATCACAGAAGGACAAATATAGTATTATTTCGTTGTTGTGGAGGATCAAAGAAAGGTTTATATATGGAGGGAAATTTTCTTTGTTGGTTACCAGGGGTGGGAGGGGAGGGGAGGGAATACTGCAAAAAAAAAAAAAGAAAGAAATGCATTGACCCATGTCACTTCAGTTTTGTGTACACTGTACATAAATTATACTTCAATAAAATGCATTAAAAAAGGAGATTCCACTGTCACTCCCTTCTCTTTATAATTAATAAAAATCTTGTCAAAATATTTCCCACTATTAAATTACTATAGTTTCTTGGTGTTTTATATCAGATTGATATTAATAAATAATGGTGAGATAGCTGAACACAAGATAGCATTTAGTATTTTCACTCAATATAAACTTATAGAGAATAAGTCACTCTTCTAGACACTGAGGAAGACATCAAAATTAGTAAGGTGTGGTCTCTATTCTCAAAAGATTGCTCTTATATAATACAAACATCAGAAAACTATAAATGCAAGATTTTCCTACAGGAGAAGAAACACTGCAAAAATAAAAAAATTAATTAAAAAAAATTTTTTTGAATGCACCTACAATCAATACGATACGCAAAATGGAAAAACATACAGCAAATGATGAAAGATGATAAGAAAATGTATAAAACAATACAAAACAAAGAACTGTTAGTTTGTTTTATGAATTTCTTTAATCTTTTCAATAAAAAAAAATAATTTTCAAAAAACCCACAAAAGCCCAGTTGTGTAATCTTTTTGCTTTTCTAGTATAATGCTTACTGTTAATGTCAGTATTAATTAACATATAAGCTAAAGTTGTCATTTAGTTTAACCATGAACCCTCTGAAATTATTTTTTTAATTGTGTATATATTTGTAATTGCAGTTTGGAGTTGGGGAAAATTGTAAAGATTTCATTAGATCCTCAAAGGGGTCTGTAAATATTTTTAGAATTTTCTGAAAACAATTACTGTACAATGATTTTTGTTATTGTCTCCCCTTTTACAAGCTACTTTCTCACTTTCAAAAAAGTAAGAACAAACAGTAAACTATGTGTCAAAAACTATTACTTCAAAGCAGCATGATTCTTTGAATTAGAAAATATAGATTCAATTCTTGGCTCCCCCTCTTACTGGCTGAGACCTTAGAAAATTTACTTAACCTCATGGAGCTACAGCTTTTCATGTGGAAAATGGAGGTATGAATAGTTATCTCATAATGATGCTGTGAAGATTAAACTAGATAGATGGTAATATTCACATTTTTGTCCTTCTTTCACTGTTAGATCATTGTTTTTATCTTCATCTCAGATTCTTATCCCAGTGTTCAGAGCCACCCCTTTTCTGCTCTAAACATTTTCCCAGTCTTTAATCAGCTCTCATTCTCAGCTCTCTCTCCAATCTCACTTCTACAAACCCACTAGGAATGAAGTTTCTACACCTTTCCTAAGATAATCACCACTGCTGCATTTTTAATAGCTTTCTTAGGTTCACCTTCAATCTCAGTATTTCATGACATCAAGCATAGCCCAAGCAGAAGCAGATACTTAAAAAATGCTATTTGTAAGAAAACAAAAAGTCAGGCTAAAAAAGGTAAGTGAAATTTAAAAAAATAAATCACTTAACAAGATAAGTGAAATTTCCACTACTAGTGAATTTAGCAAAGTTACAGGACACAAAATCAATATAAAAATACCCGCCAGTATAGAAATTTCTATACACTAGCAACAAATAACTAGAATATAAAATTTTTTAAATGACATTTCCAATAGCATTTCAAAATATAAAATATTTTAAAATAAGTTAAATAAAAGATACATAGGACTTCTACATGAGAAACTATGTCTTTCCTCAAAAAAACGAAAAGATACACCATAGTACATGCATTGGAAGAGTAGATTTTGATAATATAACAACTCTTCCCAAATTGATCTATAGACATAATTCTTATCAAAATTGAAGCAGACTGTTTTATAGAAACTGACAAACTGATTCTAAAATTTACAAGGTAATACAAAAGACCTACCATAACCAAAATGATATTGAAAAAGAAAGTCCAAGTTGGAAGACTTAACACCATCCAACTTCAAGACTTACTGTAAAGCTACAATAATCAAGAAAGAGTAGTTTTTGGCTGTCTTCATTATGAACCCAGAATCCAACCACTTCTCACCACCACATTAACTCTCCTTCATGAAACAGAAAAGAATACTCTCAGATTGCAGAAATAAGAAACACATAATTACATGTAAAATTTCATGAGTTCTTGTTTAATTTTAATATATCTTGGGTTTACTTCAAAGTTGAATAACAATAGCAACCATCAATTACTCAGAAACTTCTTTGTTCCAAATACTTATGAGAAGATACAACTCTCCAAGGGTTTCTCAAGTTTCTACACATGTTGCAAAGAGAAGCACTGACTGCCTTTATTTAGAATTTAGTTTGTCAAGGATATTTGTATAGCAAGAAGCTCAAGAAGATAGCAACAGTAACTCCCTCTACAGCAAAGAGCACATAAGCTCACTGCCTATTTAAAAGATGGGGGTTCCCTAAGTTCAGGGTTCCTCTCCTGGAACATACTGGAACTCAGGGAACCAGCACAAGAAAATGCTGGAACTCTGGCGATTGCTATTGCTATGAAATAAAGTGCTTTCTCTCTAACTTTGGAGTTTCATGTCTTTTACCAGTATCTTTGAAACTGTGGTACACTAACTAGTTAGCTTGCAAATAATGTAAAATCTCAGACCCTTCACAATTCTCAACAATACTGTGTTAAGAACTTTATATACACATCTCTAATCCCCATATCAATGCTGCTAAGTAGATATTACTATCCTCCTTTTACAGATAAGGATACTGAACTTCTGAGAGGTTAAGTAAAATAGCCTAGTCACATAACTAGAAGTGGCAAATCAATGTATGTCAGCATCCAAAGCTCAAGAGCCTTCCACTATAACACAAAACCCCTGAACAGATTTACCTTAAGTCCTGTATGGTTTCCAAGTTACTATTTAAAATATCAGCTATTTTTCCCATTAGTGGACTAAAATGCAACTGCTGATCAGCTAGGCAAGAGGAAAATTTTGACAGCACATGCATATCAAACCTATTAAAGGAAATACACAAAGGAGAGCATTAGTATTTACGTAGACTTAAAACACATAATACACAGTTATAAAGCAAGAAGCAATCAAAAAATCTACTGACATATACACTTTACTAATATAAAATAAGTTTGTCTAAAATGCTATTTTTTAATTATTTTTAATTTTTTATTATTATAAAAGTAACAAATGCTAACAATTAAAAAGTCAGATTTTATAGAAAGATTAAAAAGAGAAAATCACTCAAAATTATTTGAATCATGTACCTATTAGTTTTTGAGGTAGTATAACAATTTCAACTCAAAGTTGCATATTAACAAATAAAACATTCAGTACTAAAACCTTGCTGTAAAAAAGTTCAGAATTTTTCTGCAGGAAAAATGACTCAATTTCTTCAACAATGAAATCATAAGACAAAAGAGATAAAGGAGAATTGTTATAGATTTTTTTACGACTTTTAATTCATTAGAACACAAGCCTAAGAAGGTTCACAAAAGCATTATATGGAACAGGAAAAAACTGCAAACAATCCAAATGCCCACCAAGGGCACAATGGATAAATTACACAGGAGCTCTGGTAGCATAGTGGCTAAAGCACTTGCTGTTAACCAGAAGGCTGGCGGTTCAAACCCACCAACCACTCCTCAGAAGGAAGGTTGGGCAATCCTACTTCCGTAGTGATACTGCCTCGGAAACCCAAGGAGGGGTCGCTATGAGTCGGGGCTGACTTGACGGCACATAATAACAACAACATTCATATAACAGAATACTATACAACAATAAAAAAGAACTACTGAATCGCAGATCGTGGATGAATCTTCAAAACATTTTGAGTGAATTAAACTAGAGATAAGAATATGTTGTTGTTGTTGTTATGTGCCGTCGAGTCGGACCCGACTCATAGCGACCCCTCCTTGGGTTTCCGAGGCAGTATCCTACGGAAGTAGATTGCCCAACCTTCCTTCCGAGGAGTGGCTGGTAGGTTTGAACTGCCAGCCTTCTAGTTAGCAGTCAAGTGCCTTGGCACTATGCTACCAGAGCTTCTAGAGATAAGAATATATAATATAAAATTCTATTTCTATAAGAAGGAAACTATTTACAGTGTTAGAAGCCAAAACAGTGGTTACTCCTGGAATGAGGGGAGATGAACTGGAAGAGAACATGAGAACCTCTGGGGAACTAGTAATGTTCCTTATCTTTTTTCCACATGTGTAATTGTTTTATTCATATTTTAAGAATACAATTGTCAACTAAGTTTATGTCAAATGAAGGACAAATGGCTGAACAGAAGATTAGAAGACTGAAATCTGCTTATTTTGTATAAGCACAGAAATGATATGAATCTTCTAATTCCAAAATAAATTTGCACTTAATGCAGTATTTAGATTTTTTTCCATTGTTATTAGAGTGATGTTATTTTGCTCTTAAATTTGAGTGACACTAAATAGCAGTTGGAGTAAACCAGAAATAGATGTTTCATTACAACACAGACAGACAGACAAACAGATGTGTCCACAGCATTTTAAGTTTCAGTTGGTCAACTTAGGCTTTTTCTTCAACGTTAGAGAGGATTACAGTGATCTGAATGACCTTTCCTTCTGAACAATGGGTAATGCTGTTTCTTAATCTGGGCATTGTTACACATAAATGATCAATCAGTAGGTGAAAATTCATCAAGCTGCACACTTATGATTGGTATAGTTTTATACAATACTCTTCAATGAAATGTTTAGTTAAAAAAAAGAAGCCCTAGCAACCAAATGGAATGTGTAGACCTTATTTAGATATTAATTTAAACAAGCTGACTATAAAAAAGGCCTTTCCAGGACAACCAAGGAAATTTGAACACAGACCAGGTATTAGGTTATATTAAGAAATTATTAATTTTTATAGGTAGCATAGAGGCATTGTGATTACATATATTTTTTATGAGTTCTTATCTCTAAGAAGGAACTCAGGTGACACAATGGTTGAAGGTTAATGGTTCAAACCCACCAGCAGCTCCAAAAGGAAAAGATGAGACAGTCTGCTTCCATAAAGAGTGATAGCTTTGAGGCAGTCATATACATCCTATGGGGTAGCTATAAGTCGAAATCAACTCGATAGCAGTGAATTTGGTTGGGTTTTTTTTTTTTTTTTTTTTTGTTATCTCTAAGAGAAGCCCTGGTGGCACACTGGTTAAGCACTTGGCTGCTAGAAAGGTAGAAGGTTTGAACCTATTAGCCACTCCACGGGAGAAAGGCCAAGCAGTCTGTTTCCATAAAGATCTACAGCCTTGGAAACCCTATGGGGCAGTTCTACTTTGTCTTTTAGGGTCGCTTTGAGTCAGAATCGACTCCACAACAGTGGGTTTGGGTTATCTCTCTCAGAGATACATATTGAGGCATCTACAGGTGGAATGATAGAACTATTTAAAAATATACTGAGGGGAAGGGAAGACTGTGAGATGAAATAAGTAAAATAAGACACCTATATGTTGGTAATTGTTGAAGCTGGATGATGGGCACATAAGAGTTTATTATATTAGTCTTCCCACCTTTATAAATGTATAAAATCTTCTGTAATTAAGAGTTTTTAAAAATTCTCAATTTCAAATTCATGCTAATTACTTTTGCTAAAATTCATCATATAGTACTAGTCTATAATAATCTATCCCATTTGAATCATAGTTCTATAACATAAATGCAGACATATTAGCAAAATCATTGATTAATAGAAATTTATTATACAACAAAAAACCTCATAGGGCACAAAAACCATTAAAAAATCAGAAATTAATGTTCATCCCATGACTCTATTAGAAATTCTATATATAGAACACAAATTAAGGTTTTTAAATTTTTTATAATTTAGTATCATAAAAAATAAAAGCATTGCTGTAAGTGAAAAGTATCCCACAGAAAAAAAATCATTATATTCTGAGTCATTTTGAAATGAAGAAAATTAAAAATGAAATGTCTGATTTACCAGGGAAGCACAACTATACATCTACAACTCAATCATTTAACTAATAAATAGTAAAAAAAAAAAAAAAACTGTTGCACAACTGGTTAGTTCAAGCTGCATTATACACATAACATTAAATGTTGCTATGATGAGAAATAAAAAAATTTTCAGCTATTATCAACAAGATAAAATTTAGCCCCAAAAATCTCGTTGTTTAGATTACTCACAAAAGGAGTAAGATTATTTTGCTTATCCTCAACAAAAGGATGGTTAATTAAAATTACAATTTAGTAGATGAATGCAGAATCTCAAAACCACAGAACTACAAAATACGGAACATATGTACAATGGAATACTACTCAATCATAAAGAGAAATACAGTCTTGATATATGTTACAAGGATGAACCTCAGGGCATTATAAATTCTAAGTGAAATAATCACAAAAGGACAAATATTGTACCATCTCCCTTACATGAAATGACAATAGGAAAATATATAGAGGCCAAAGTTTATTAGTTATCAGTGTTAGGAAGGAGTGGGTGCAGAACCATTATTTAGGAAGTAATGAGTTTCTGTTTATGGTAAAGGGAAATTTATCATTGATTAAGGAAAATGGTTGTGCAACATAATTAATGTAGTTGGTATCACTGAGCTATATACCTGAAAAAGGCTGAATAGACAAATGTCACATATATACATTTCTACCAGAAGGAAACATTTGCAACTGTTGATACTGCCTACCTACACGTAGCCAAATACCTCACTGGATTTGTTTTCTTGATCAGGAGTTTTAGGATCACGGTTTCATAGGACATTCTAAATCAACTGGACTAACACTGATTTTCATGGTTCTGGTTTACCTCCTAGTTTGCTGTGTAGTTCCTGCAGTCTTAAAAGTTTGTGAGTGGCCACCCACAGTATAAAAATTAGTTTCTATTTTCCTGGTGCAGCAGAGGAAGATGGTAGGTCAAGAACTAGAGGAGGAACTGGAATATGTGTCCAATTATATCTAGTAACAACCACCTCCTTTGTCATGACACCAGAACTGTACAGTGCCCAGCTACCACTACTGAATTTTTGGCTCCAAGATTCTATAGCAGAATCCTGATCAAAAAGGGGGAAAATACAGAAAAGAACTTCAAATTCTCATGGAATCCAGACTTTCGGAAGCCACTAACTTGGACGATTACCCTAAAATTATTGCCTGAAGAAATCTTCAAGCCTTAAACTGAAACTATTCCCTGAAGTGATCTTTAAACCAAACAACAGTTTAGCTTAAGAAGTAAAGAACATCTGTCTTTAGCATTATGTTCTTTTAAAGAATTATATACAGGAGATCAAATTGGCAATAGCAACTTGAGCAGTTAGATGATAAATTTAAGGGGCAGTGAGTTTGTGTTGATGATGTTGAAACTATTTGGAAAAGGATATTGAAAAAGGCAGCACAACTTGAAGAATATAAGCGACGTCACTGAATTGTACATGCAGAAATGTTTCAATTGATGTATGTTTCTCTGTGTGTATCTTAACCAAAAATTTAAAAAAAAAAATCCATAGAACTGTTAAATTACTGGTTTAATTTAATCCAGCATATATAACAAAGGTCTATATAGTTCATCAATACATAACTAAAATTGTTAAGAGTTTCTCATGAGTTAAGCTTTCAGAAGCAATATACCCAAAAAGCTCATATAGGAATGCCTGCTCCTCTCTATCTGTACATAATTAGTCTGTTGTTTTTCCTTTATCTCAGTCAATCCTTTCCTTTCTGCCCCAGTTTCTATCTGGTTTAGAGAGAGTTGTTGTTGCATCTTTTTTTTTTTTTTTTTTTTAAATCTTCCTGTCTCTTTCCCACTTTAATTTCCCCTCTTTCCTCACTAACCATTTGCCTTATTCCACTAATAATGGATATTAGCCATCCAGAATCCCAAGGTCAAGGAATTCAAAATTTCAGAAATAGCTGAAAATTTACTGAAGTGAGCTCTGCTGTTAGCTCATTTACAAATGGAGAGCTTCCCATGTGCACTTACAGAGTAGATGCTCTGTACTCAAGAGGGTCCTGAATCTACTTCACATTTTTCTGGATTAGTATCAATTATGGTGAAATGCTGAAAATATGACTGTGTATGGTACAGAAAATGATCTAAACTGATCTTACCCACACTAGTGGACCCAATACTTAACTACTTTAAATACTTCAAGTGTCACCTATGACTTTTGTTTATTGCTTCTTCATAAACAAGAAGACAAGAGAGAGTGACAAACAAGTACCATTCTAGTGAACTGGTATTTTCTTTTTTCTTCTTTTATGGCTCCTGCACTTTTACGTTTTTACTAAAGCCAGTCAAACAGAGCATCCTCTCTTCTGAAGCAGTTTGTTCATGAATATATAATTTTGGTCATTAAGTATGTGGAAAACGTCCCTGTTCTTAATTTAAAAAAGGAACATTTTAAATACTTTTATTTATCTCATGAAGACAAAACTCACATAAAATCAAACAACCCTCAAATTAACTTGAGCTTAAATGTATTTTTTCAATGAAGTTCGATAGGTAGGCAGCAGCTCCCCATTCTTTTACTACATGATTTTGCTGGGCCAGCCCTGAAAGAGATATTCCTTGTTCTTAGATGATGAACCCAGAGTACTCGCCTTTCCAGCCTTCTCCATCCTTCAGTAACCAGTGCTTCAACAAGAGGGTCATGAGCCTCAACAGCAAACCTCATTAAAAGCAAAAGAAAAAAATTCTCCATAAATAAAAATTTGTAAATCATTAAAAACACATGCAGAAAGATTTAGCATGCAAAAGCGATCTTCAAGTTATTGTTCTCTTACACAGTCCTTATTTCTAGGCCATTCCTATTTCAATATTCTAACGTCTTAGTACAGTCTAATAAATATCTATACTTTACATCATGTCTGTCTCTCTCTTTTTACCTGCTCGTCTCAATGTTCTCCACTGATGACAATGCAAATGCTCAATGATACATTTTATGCTGAAAATACACACAATGCTTATTACTTTTTCTGGTTATAACAATTTTTATAAGAGAAAGTTTTAAAATATAGAAAAACTTTAAAAAGGAAATAAAAATCACTTATAACCCTGGTACTCAGAAACCGTCACCACTACCCTTTTGGAGTACTTCTTTCCATTTCCTTTTCTCAATATACAAAAGAAATATGCATATGTTGTACATTTTTGTACCCTACCTTTTTCAGTAGTTTAACATTATATTGTGGGTATATGCCAACATCATTAAATATTCTTCAAAACATGATTTCTAATGATTGTATATTACTCCAGTGTGTGAGTGTAATATTATTTAGTTATACATTCACCCACTATTAGCATTTCAGTTTTTCAATATAAACAATGCTGTGATGAAGAGCCATATATAAAAGTCTTTAAATGTATCTTGCATTACTTAAGATAAATCTTAGAAGCAAAAGGTCAAAGGTATTTTTTCCCTTTCTCATGTAACAGCTTTTAACGATCCATGGAATATAATTTTTGACACAATTATATTCTTATCAAGTGTGGTGTAGTAAATTATTTAGTGTGGCTTTTCTACCCATAAGTCTTTGTAAACTCCAAGGTGGGATTTTCTATGAGCAACTGAGGAGCCTCCTGATTGCTGAAGTTGTCCACCTGGAGTATTTCTGTTGGGAGTGGCACAAAACAGTGTTCTGGGAGGTGCCCACTCTCTCTCAGGTGGTTAGAGTTCTGATGCTATGATTGGCTAGTTTGGCCACCCTGCCGGGCTCCAAAGGAGGTCTCCTGGAGGCAGAACTCTCTCTCTGACTGCTGGTTGAGGAGGACGTGCTGCTGAAAGAGACATGCACCCCTGAAAGAGACATACGCTGCTGGGAAAGAGATGCAAGAGACACGCATCGCTGAGTGAGACACCGAGGGACCAGCACTGCTGGGAAAGAGACGGAGAGACTGTTGGCTGAGGGACGGTGGGCTGGGAGAGAGATTGAGCATTTTTCCTGAACCTGAATTGTAGCCTGGTGCTTCCCTAATAAATCCTGTAATCTGTGAGTTCTGTGTGGCCACTGCAGCAAATTATCGAACCCAGGAGAGAGGTGGTGGGTGCTTTGGGAGGAATGGTTGGTGAAAGGGCTGGAGGGAGGCAGCATGTTTGGCCTTGCAGTAATAGGCCTTGGGTTACTGCTGTCTTCCTCTTGTGAGATTAGAGGAGGTCAGAACATGTGGCCTCCTTGCCGTTTTTGCATCAAGTATAAGTAAGTCTACAAAATGATTCTACTCCCTTTTTCTTTGTTTTTGGGAGCTACTGCTGGGAGCAATCTAGTTACTAACATCCCCTAGAAAACATATCTGGTATCAAATTATGGGAACCAAAATATCAACATAGGCACAATTTACTATTCTACTGATTGTTACTAGGTATTAAACTGAAGTCTAATTGTTCATTTATTTTATCCTTATTTTCTTTAGTCAACCACATTTTCACAAAATTTCACAATAATCCAGCTACATACAGTTTAAATTAATGATTTTTACTTTCACAAGTGATCATATTTTAATTTACAAAATGATAATACTACTAATTTGTATCAACATCTTTAAAATTACCAGGTTCATCTCAGGAAAGGATTATTGGAGGGGAAAAGTTTTTGTTTAAAAGATTTTTAGAAAATTAAAATACAGAAATAAATTATGACCATTGTCATCAAATCTAAAAGTACTTACTGCTGCATGATGCACAACACATTCACCAGGGTATCATCATTCATTAACTCTATTTTATCTGTAGTTAAATTACAAAGAGTAAGAAATCGGGGATTGTCTTTGATATATTCAACTCTTTTTAACAAGCTGGTCTTCTGCTTTTGAAACTGCCAAAGTATATTAAATGCATATCCCACTTGTTTTTCTGAAAGCATGGCTTTGTTTCTTTCGATAAGATCAAATATTTGCTCTTCATCTGTACACTTATTCATCTGGTTAATTAATAGTTCACAACTTGAGGGTCGAAATTGAAACACTCTCCAGAAAAATGGATAAAAAGCTCTTAGACGAAGCATATTTGTGACCAGTAAGTCCAGAAAAAAGTTATCTTCTCCTTTACATCACAAATTTCCTTAAATAAAGAAAACCATTTGCACTAGTATTCAGGTGCAATACACTGGTGTGATAATAACTGTTTTTCCTTCAAGTATTTTGCTTCCATTATGACTCCAAATACCATTCCAACATGCAGCTTCTGTAAAATTATTGATTTAACATGGTTAATAATATATCACTAATAATAAACTCCAAAATTCAACTTAAAATAACAAGTTTCTTCCCCTTAAGTAAAGACTTTGTTTTCAGTATGAACCACATGGCAGAATTTAATAAAAAATAAAATGCCCAGAGGGGCGGTCTTATTTCTTTACACCATTTGACTGTTTGTCAAATCTGACATTTACATAGTTTTCAAATTTGACCGTAAAAGCAGAAGGAAAAAACCCTCCAACTCAGAAATGAATCTAAGACAATTATGAAATAGAATAATTTGTTTTTAAAACAAGTTATAACAATTAGTCCAAGCAACTGGTATACCATGTGATTCTCAGCCTATATGACTATGAGACCAGAAGAACTAGATGGTGTCTGGCTACCACTGTCAACCACTCAGTTGTTGTTGTTATGTGCTGTCGAGTCGGACCCGACTCATTGCGACCCCTCCTTGGGTTTCTGAGGCAGTATCACTATGGAAGTAGATTGCCCCATCTTCCTTCCGAGGAGTGGCTGGTGGGTTTGAACCACCAGCCTTCTGGTCAGCAGTCAAGTGCCTTAGGCACTATGCAACCACTCAGAGGGGGATCTACATAGGAGATCCTAGATAGAGTGGGAGAACAATGTGAACAAAACTCAAAATCATTTGAGGAAAAAAAAAAAGGGGGGGGACCAGGTTTGCTAGTCTAATAGAGCCTGGTGGAACCACTGAGACTATGGCTTCTAGCAGCCTATCAGGTCTGGAATTAAACTCACACCTGTGGCTTTCATCCGAACAAAAGACAGGCATATGAGGTGAACATTTACACTAAGTAGATAAACTCCTTGGAGAGAACAATCATGGGAGAAAAGAAGGGTTGTTTATGCACAAGGAGACAGCTCAGGGCGCAAGAGTGCACAGAGGGATGGACACAGGGAAGAGGTAACTATGGGGAGGAAGTGGGAAAGAGCTGTGACACTGTTGGAAATTGTACTCAATTTCATGAGACAAAGTGTATGTGAACAGCTGTATGGAAAGTGAATTGGCTCTGTAAACTTTCACCCAGATCACAATTAAAAAAAAAAAAAGAAAACAAGTTATAAATCTTTATGAGATGTTCACTGCAGCACTATTTACAATAACAAAAAGATGAAAATAACCTAGGTGCCCATCAACAGAAGAATGGATAACCAAACTATGGTACATACACACAATGGAATTCTATGCAACCCTCAAGAAAAACATAGAATCTGCAAAACAACTCATAACATGGATGAATTGGAGGACATTATGCTGAGTGAAATAAGTCAATCACAGAAGGATAGATATTGTGTTAGTCCCTTATTGTAAAAAGTCAAGGAAACGTTTACACATGGAGGGAAATTTTCTTTGTTGGTTACCAGGGGTGGGAGGGGAGGGAAGGGAACACTGCTAGATAGGTAGAGACAAGTATTTATTTAGGTGAAGGGAAGGGCAATGTACCAAATATGAGTGATCAACAAGGTGGCATTGAGGAAGAGGAAGACAGAGAGGTGCATGGGAGGTACAGCTAACCAATTTTTGCATATACAATACTGCGTAGTCAGTGATGGCAAACACTGATATATGGGTGGATAGATGGGTGGACAGGGTGAACTATTAGGTATGTCTATGCAGGAGGGAGTGTGCCCATGACCATGTATAGAGTTGGCAGACAATATTTCTACAAGTGCATTTGTATGTTCTGTAAGAATTTCCAGTTATGTAGTAAAGCTGACATAGGACAAGGCTGTAGTCACTTGTTGGCCACAGCCAGGTACCTGGAGGGAGAGAGTACTTGGACCTGTGAGCTCAGGACCATGGTCGCAGGGAATATCAAGCTCAATTGGCATAATATACTACACAAAAACACTGTTCCACATCTTACTTTGGCAAGTAGAGACTGGGATCTTAAAATGCTTATAAGCAGCTATCTAGATGCAATGAGAGGTCTCTCCTCATCCAGAGCAAATAATGAAGAAAACCAACAACGCATGGAAACAATTAGTCCAAAGGACTGGTACACCACATGATCCTCAGTGGGTATGACTATGAGACCAGAACAACTAGATGGTGCCTGGCTACCACTGTCAATCACTCAGAGGGGGATCTATGTAGGAGATTCCAGATAGAATGGGAGAACAATGTGGAACAAACCTCAAAATCACACACACACACACACACACACACACACAAAAGGGGCCAAGTTTGCTGGTCTGACAGAGCCTAGTGGAACCCCTAAGGCTATGGCCCCTAGCTCCCTTCAGGTCTGGAATTGAACCACTGAACTCACTCCTGTGGCTTCCAGCCAAACAAAAGACAGGCATATGAGCTGAATATTTAGATGACATAGATAGACTCCTTGGAGAGATAAATTGTGGGAGAATAGGAGGGCTGTATATGCACAGGGATACAGCTTGGGGGTGGGCAGGAGTGCATGGGAGGGAATGACACAGGGAAGAGGTAACAACTATGGGGAAAAAGTGGGAAGAGAGCTGTTGCATTGTGGGAAATTGCAGTCAATGTCATGAGACAAAGTGTATGTGAACTGCTGCATGGAAAATGAATTTGCTCTGTAAACTGTCACCCAAATCACAATAAAAATTTAAAAAAATTTCCATGAGAGATCGAGAAGCAATACTTAGAAAACCGTATTATCCAACACTTCTGCAACAAGGTACTATCTACAAAACCAAAAAAAGAAAAGAAATCCACTGTCATCCAGTCGATTCTGACTCATAATGACTCTACGGGATAGAATTGCCCCATATGGTTTCCAAGGCTGTATATCTTTACGGAACCAGACTGCCTCATCTTTCTCCAGCGGAGTGGTTGGTGGGTTCGAACCGCTGACCTTCTGGTTAGCAGCCCCAAGCCTTCAAGTGCACCGACGGCAAACAGTGACGCGCTGTGCAAATGACAAACATCTACCTTGCCAGATACATAGTGGCGCTCAATGAATGAGTGAAGGAACCAAAGTTAGTCTCCCCCGTCTCTCACAAGAGAGCGCAGTCCTGTCCTCTTCTGTGCCGCGGAACTCCGCGGAGAACTCACCTTCGGGAAGGCGGCCAGGATTTCTTACCGGACATGAGTCTTGCCCAGAAAACGTGCGAAGTGTGTTAAAAGAAAAACCTCTGCAGTTATCCCAGGCCTGACTTGCCAGCAAGAAGTTCATACCCTCAACGCTTGCAATTTTTCAGGAAGATTCCTGGGAAGACTGGTCACAATGTCTCAGAAGTCAGATCTACTCCTGGTCACCAAACCAAGCGACGCGTTACCTCTCGCTCACCTCTCCGAGCCCCGGGTTTTCAATCTATCCTCGAGAGACATCATCTCTCCGCTTTTGGAGCCTGTCCCCAAACCAGAAAACATGCCCGGCAAAGGGCAGCGTGCGCGGCGGAAGGCGTGCACTACATATCCCAGCGTGCGTCGCGGCGATGACGGTAGAATAGACGTCGTCGCTTACGCGTTTGGAACCTATAGGAGTTGTAGTTTCTCATTGAGAAGTGAGTCTAGGGCAGGACTTAATTAACTGTTGTAGGTTCTCTATAATGTTTCTCAGTTATCTAAGGTTTTCCCCAGTCTGTCGTGGACTGATACTTTTATAATACACAATAACAGCGAGTTATTAAAAAAATTAAATTAGAAAATATAAACATGGAAAAGATGCATATGGATTTTTTCTTACTATATTCAACAGATACAAAATTACTGTCAAGTGCTTATAAAAGTTATTTAATTTCATACTTTCAATTTCTGCCCTTATGTCGTGGCACACAGGCATCAGTCACAGACCACACTTCTTTTTAACAGCTTTATTGAAATATAATTCACATACCATTCAAATCACCCATTTACAGTGTACTATTTAATGGCATTTAGTATATTCACCCACCAGCCACTCCTCGGAAGGAAGATGGGGCAATCTACTTCCGTAGTGATACTGCCTTGGAAACCCAAGGAGGGGTTGCTGTGAGTCAGTCCAATTCCACGGCACATAACAACAAAAACAACAACAACAGTATATTCACAGAATTGTGACACCATCACCAAAATCGATTTGAGAATATTTTCATCACCCCTAAAAAAGAAGCGACAAGCCCATTAGCAGTCACTCCCCACCCCACCTTAAACCAAAACCAAACTCACTGTCATGAGTTGATTTCAAGTCATAGTGACATTTTAGGACATAGTAGCACTGCCCCATAGGGTTTCCAAGACTATAAATCTTTATGGGAGCACATTGACTCATCTTTCTCCTGGAAGTGGCTGATGGGTTTGAACCACTGACCTTTTGGTTAGTAGACACATGCTTTTACCACTATGACACCAGAGCTGGCCTATCCACGTTAATCACAGGCCATACTGATTTAGGGTATTTGGAGCAAGGCCAAGGGAGCCCTGGTAGCACAGTGGTTAAGGGCTCGGCTGCTGAAAAGTCAAGGGAGAATGATGAGCAGTCTGCTTCTGTAAAGATTTACAGCCTTGGAAACCCTATGGTGCAGTTCCACCCTGTCCTATACGGTCACTATGGGAGGAATTTGACTCAGCCACAGTGGGTTGGAACTAGGTCAATTGATAATAAATCTGAAGATTGAGAATAACCAGAATTCACAGAATAAAAGGAGTTGCAGAATAAATGCGGAAAAAGCATAGGGATAGATCTAGCATGACTTTGTGTCAATGACCTCCAGTCAAATACCACCAGAACACACCTATAGTTAAACAGAGTTCAGTTATTGACTCGTTGAAATGAAGTAGAACACACCCCATAGGGTCTCAGTAAGGTGTTAGAAAAACTTGCAG